TTAAAAAGACAGGAGGGGCCTTAAGAGATAAGAGTTTGTCTGGGACAGTGGACTCCTCGCTAGAACATCGGTTTCTTGAGGCAGGAATATTGGTTTGCTTCCATTTTGTGGCTCCGCTTCTCTGAGCCTAGCACCTGGCTCATTATAGGGGCTCAGTTAAGAACTGTTGAATTCAATTGCAGGGGTCAAGATTTTAGGCCCTATGCCTGGGCCAGTACCTACTATGTGGACACTGGGAACTCTCCTGGGAGCTCGGCCATGCTATTCCCTTTTCTTCTCCCTTTCCAGCAGAAAAGTAATGATAGACAATAAGTGTGCCGTGTCTTGGTACAGAGTAAGCCTCCATAGATGTGAACCGTTATTACAAACTCCATGATTTATCCACCAGGATAGGCTATTCATGTATTCTGTCATCAAACATTTTTAAGCACCTACTCTTGCAAAAAGTGGCCCCTGACCCTTCGCAGAAGATACAAAAGAGGTAAAAGGCAGTGACCCTGCTGTCAAGGAGCTGAGCAGCAAATATGTACAAGCTGTAAAGACCTGTAAAGTGCTGAAGTAGGATTTCAGCAGGATTTCAGCACTGCCCAACAAAATGAACCCAGCCCTAAAGGTTGAGTGGAGAGGAAGGAAGGCAGGACAGAGACTGAGGTGTGGAGAAGCAAAGGATGCTTCTTGGAAAAGGTGAGCTTTAGGGAAGGTCCCAGATAAGTTGGATAGATTGGGTAGAGAGATCGGATGGGGCATTGTGGGTAGTTGGAATGGCAGGAGCACAGGCGCAAAGGCTGGACCTATAGGGTCCTGAGTACCCGCTCCTTTTCTGCCCTGCCTTTTTATCCAGACACTGCTGAATGAGCTGGACCGAAGTTTGGGCCGGTACCGGGATGAGGTGAATCTGAAAACAGCCATCATGTCCTTTATCAACGCTGTCCTCAATGCTGGAGCTGGAGAGGTGAGGCACCTTCCCCTTCCTTGCTGTGTCCTGACTTCCTGGACCTGGGGTAGAATGTATGCGTGCTTCCCGGGGAAGGGGCCAAGGTGTCTGGTTGGTATGGCTGCCGCTACCATCATTGTCTTCAATGATCTGTAGCACCTGTTGCCTTCCTTGTTTGGGACCAAGAAAGAATAGCTTGTCATTAACCTCGCTTGTCATGGAGGGTTCCGGGGGAGTGTTCTGCATACGTAGCAGCATGCATTATGTGTGTCATGGACAAACCAGCCTTGGCTGGCTGATGATGGCTTCGGGCGGTGAGGGATCATTTGTGGGAGGAGGGCAAGTGTAGGCCGTTCTTTCTAAGAACTTTCTAAAGACCTGCTTCTAGACTGGTGCCCGGGTTGGCTAGTCTTGGTCTTCTAGCACCTTCTGTGAGGAGGTGTGGTTTTTAAAAAAATTTTCTTTCCTTTGGGGTCAGAATGGGATTCTCAGACCATAAAAATAGCAATAATTAAAGAAGAACTTTAACAGCAGGTGAACTCCCCAAATTCTAAGGTAATCAGATGTCCCAGTCAGGGTCAGCTTACTGAAGGCTAAAAGGGGCACTTTAATAATCTCTACTTTCCCCTCTTTTCTGCCA